AAGGACACTGGGAGCCATGGGGACACTGAGAGACATGGGGACACAGACACGGGGAGACTAGGGGACAATGGAAGCCATGGGGACACTGAGACACTAGGGACACTGGCTGGGAGATATGGAAAAATGGAGACACTGTGTTCCTAGTGTCTCTGTGTCCCCAGGTCTCCAATGTCCCCTAGTGTCTCAGTGTCCCCATGTGTCCTCTAGTGTCTCAGTGTCCCCATGTCTCCCTGCTGCCTTTCCCCTCATCCCTCACTTCCCTGAGCTGTAGTCTGTCTCTGCAGGCTGAGAGCTGCTGTCTGAATTCTCTGTGCTGTACAGCTGCTCTCCCATGGATCAGTGAGTCGAGAGAGGCAGGGAGGGATATGCTATAACTTCCTATAACTTCCTATCCCTGCCTCACTCCACACACACACAGCGACCCCTACTGGCTGGTGCTGGTATTGCATGGTAATCTCTGTTTATACTGAGAAAAATACCGGCATTTGTATTGCCAGGATTACTGCAATACCGGCAAGGCCAGGCAACCTCAAATATTGTGCCGGTAAAATACTAGTCAGGTCGCAAACCTAAATTACTTTTTTTTTTAAATGGGCCTATTCCATGGTCCTGGGCCGGGAGCTGCAGCTCCATCAGCCCCTATGTTAATCTGGCTCTGCCTATGGGGAAACACTGGGGGGCCAATGGAAAGACAAATTTACAAAATACGTATTTAAACATTCTCTGATGCTATAGAAAACTGACCATTAAAAGATAAAACAATTCAAAAATAATGGGTATTTTTTCTGCTATATCTTAAAATAAAAAAGTGTCTTCATGACAGGTACACATTTAGGAAATAATCATTCACTTGCCTTCTTAATTGAAATTTTAATGGAGTGATATTTTGTGTTTGCAGATAACATTGAATCAATTATTTGACTTTTACAGTACGTGCATTTAAAGTACATTTAATATAAAACAGAACATTTGGATTTTTATGGCATATGGACAGCACATGATTTATCAACTATTACCATAACAGAGATTTTTATAATGGTAATTATATTCTACAATAAATCTTTTTTTCCTTGTTTCTTTGAGGTGTACAATGAGAATGGCTGAGTAATAACAGACTTTAAGTGTACCACGAGTCTTTTCTGGATTTAAGTAAAATACAATTTTTCCTGCTTTACAATATTATTACATTTCTATTAAACTCGACTATTAGTTTCGGCTAAAACAAAATCACATCTGGGCCTTTTACCCATTTTGTTCTCCTATGTGGTTACGTTTAATATTGAAAAAAGATTTCCAAACATTTAAACCACCTGGCTTTCTTGTTTTTGTATTACTAAAATAGGCCATGATTTATTACTTACAAAATTAATTTGGAATAGACAAGAAAAATTCATGACTTTTCCCCATATTGTTCTTAATCTAAGCTGCATTATAAATCAAGCATAATCCAAACTCATAGATGAAATGTTAAGACCAAAGTTTATTTCAATTTTTGTCTCTTAAACAAGATTTACTTTGTACAAAATATCCTAGAATAGTCTCATACATTTTAGAAAATCACAATAAAAGGCAGTTTAACAATAAGAATGCAAGGGTTAAATATGTTTTTTTTTTTAAACTATTTTTAAAGCGGCAGCCTGGGGACCATAACAATACAGTTAGTGGTTGTGGTGCCATGAGTCTCATAATAAGAAGGCAATCTATTTCATTAATGGTTTGACATTTCTCATGACACCAGCCCTATTTGTGATATATCTAAAGCAGATGTCAAAGTTGTCTATATTTGGATACAATGAATTGGCTAAGACGGTAAGCTGATGCATTAAGTCCAAGAATCCTTCTCAGCACTGATGGAATTGATACGCCTAGCATGGAAGTGCTGTTACCAAAAGAGGACAGATCAAAGCTGCACAGGTTACTCAGGTAAGTGTCAAACTGATTTGATTACTGACTGTGACATGGTCCCAGAGGGCTGTAGTGGTTAAAGTGCATGAACTGCATCTAAGCCGAATTAATCAAAGGGCACTAAAAACTGGTATTTAAGGGTTCTAAGAAAGCAATTATTTAGTATATTAATTTTTGGGTAATTTTATTAAGCACTGCAGAATAAGTTGGCGCTATTAAATACCAATAATAATAATAATAAATATTTTATTTTACAAGCAAAATGTGTTGTAACTCCTAACAAATAAAAAATTGCAAAATGTTACTACAAAAAAAATCATAACTGTAAAATCCACTGGAGTTACACTCGACAGGTGTGTTTCTAGATCAAAGGATATACCTATTTTTTAAAGACCCATCCTATTATGAAGAATGATGTAATGATGATGTGTTCTGTTAAATACAACTCAATTACAACATAGCCTTTTTGACTGTAATAGTTCAATGGTAAAATGATATATCAGAAGTCTAAAAATGACCACAAAAACATTAGTATTGTTACTTGCAATTGGTGGGACAAGAATATATTTACATAAAAATACTCAAGGAATCTGCATATATTTTTAGGAATTCCAATTTAAAAAAACACCAGAAGGCATATATAATCAGGTTTCCCATTTGCAGTAAATGGAGTTGCCCAGGTTAGAATTGTGTTTATATGTCAGAGTATATATGCTTCATTTTCAGATAACAAATACTCTGCTCTTCTGCAGTAGTTGGAAAAACGGATGGATGGTAGGCAGAGACTATATTACGTATTTCTCTATTTTCTGTGACTTGTGGGAAGAATTTTGAAGCTGGGATTTGCACATAGCCCCCACAATTCACAGTAAAACCTCATAAATTTTAACACACAGCTTGGTTGACAGCTGTGGCATGAGTCGTACAAGCAGAACAGGGAGAAAACACATTTTAGAAGACTGTTAAAATATTTTTATTTCATGAACCAAAAAAGTATCTTTCTGTTATATTTTTGTAATCGGTATCTCCATTTAAAAAAAAAATGGATACATTTTAGGACTACAACATTTCAAGGGTTGGAGCTGTTGAGGGCTTTGTAAGTTAGTATTCATAATTTAAATTTAAAATGGACCGTGTAGTGCAGTGTAGAAAACCAACTGAGAGACTGGCAAGGGTATAAGGTCTAAATAAGCAATGGGTGATGAAGGGAAGACTGGCAGAAGCATCCATTACATATTGCATTGGGACAATGGGTATTGGTCAGACTGATAAGGGGTAGGTCACAATCGCCTATGTTGGAAATGATAAGCATATAAACAATTGCCTTGGTATTACAGTGAGGGAAAAAGTATTTGATCCCCTGCTGATTTTGAACATTTGCTGATTTTGAACATCTCCACGAGGTAGACTACACAAGGCTTGGTCTGGTGATCATCGCCCTTGGTTTGGTGCTCCATGCAAGATCTTACCTCGTGGAGTTTCAATGATCATGAAAACTGTGAGGAATCAGCCCAGAACTACACGGGAGGATCTTGTTAGTGATCTCAAGGCAGATCGGACCATAGTCCCCAAGAAAACAATTTGGAACACACTAAACCATGAAGGACTGAAATCCTTGAAGTGAATGATTCAGAGGAGAACTGGGTGAACGTGTTGTGGTCAGATGAGACCAAAATCGAGATCTTTGGCATCAACTCAACTTGCCGTGTTTGGAGGAGGAAGAATGCTGCCTATGACCCCAAGAACACTACAAATATGGAGGTGGGACCATCAAATACGGAGGTGGAAACATTATGCTTTGGGGGTGTTTTTCTGCTAAGGGGACAGGACCACTAAACTGCATCAAAGAGAAGATGCACGGGGCCATGTACCGTCAAATCTTGGGTGAGAAGCTCCTTCCCTCACCCAGAGAATTGAAAATGGGTCGTGGATGGGTATTCCAGCATGACAATGACCCAAAACACACAGCCAAGGCAACAAAGGAGTGGCTCAAGAAGAAGCACATTAGGGTCCTCCAGTGGCCTAGCCAGTCTCCAACCTTAATCCCATAGAAAATCTGTGGATGGAGCTGAAGGTTCGAGTTGCCAAACATCAGCTGCAAAACCTTAAAGACTTAGAGAGGATCTGCATAGAGGAGTGGGACAAAATCCTGAGATGTGTGCAAACCTGGTGGCCAAGTACAAGAAATGTCTGACCACTGTGATTGCCAACAAGGGTTTTGCCACCAAGTACTAGTCAAAGGGGTCAAATACTTACTTCACTCATAGACATGCAAATCAATTTATAACTTTTTTGACATGCGTTTTTCTGTATTTTTTTTGTTATTCTGTCTCTCACTGTTAAAATATACCTACCATTTATATTATAGATTGATCATTTCTTTGTCAGTGGGCAAACGTTTAAAATCAGCAGGGGATCAAATAATTTTTTTCCTCACTGTATCTTACATGACAAATATGGCAAAAATTAGAAATTATTACAAAGTGAAAATGACACAACTTGGAGATGGACTAGATATGAGGATTAAAGTTAACACTGGACTTAAAGGTCCGAGGAAGGTTGGTTTGAATCAAAACATCTGTGCAGGAGAAACAGCTCCACAGCCTTGGAACAGTGTGAAAAAAAGTGTTTACAATAATGCTTCATTTGTGATAAATTTGCTGATTGAAGGTAACAAATGGGAGCCTAGATGGCCAAATAAACATAATAATTCATATCCTGGATATGTAAAGCTTTAAATGTCAACAAACTAAATTAGTAGTGTATATGACATTCTACAGGTAACCAATTCAGACAACAGAGGTTTCAGGTTATGCAACCAGACCTCTGAACACTTAGGAACTGCATGCTTCTAGGTTTGTTATTTTTCTAGAAGACCATGATAACATGCTTTGCAGTAGTGTAGTTCGATAACATAAAGGCAAGGACAAATGTTAAAGGAATACTAAAGTGTGTTCCTAAAGCTTCAGTGTCCCTGTTAGTAGTTATAGAAGTGTCATAAAAATAATAAAATAAACCTATTTGCTTATCTTTTTCCAACACAGAGACTCCCTTGGTGTTGCTTACATGTCCTCCTCCTGCAGCATTATTGAGAAGGCATGGCGTCCTCCGGCGTGGTCCATTCCAATGCTCCTTGTAAAGAAGCATTAGGTATCTGTTGCACATGCGAGGTGGGCACCACATGCGCATCCAAGATTCATCATAGGATGTCATTGAATCATGAGCATTTGATGCAAGAATTATTTCTATGCACTAAATAAAATATATATTTTTTTGGATTTGTAGTTTCATTTTAAATTGGAGTTGGAAGTGACTATAGAAGATTAACTAAGGTCATTATTAGAACACAGGGACCAAAAACAAAGAAAATTAACCAGCTTTATGGCTATTTGAGCCAACCAGTATGTTTCTAAACAAGCTACTATGAACCGTTAGATTTCTGTAATGACGATTCAAGTATTTTTTAAATTTTTTTCACTATCATTTTTACGCATTTTTCCCAGCATTATGGTTAATGCCGTAAGATTGCCAGATATCACTTGCTCCGGCAATGTGGCCGTGAAGTAAATATTATTTTCTTAGTGACCTTTCGCATTCAGCCCTGTGTGTATGCAAAATAAATTACCCTGTTTATACACTTCCTCTTGAACAAAGTTCTTTCAAAATGAAGATTCCTTTCCATCAGAAAATTCCACACTTAAAGAAGACATAAACAAAACTGCAAAGTCCCGGAACCTTGGCAGACACAAGCAATTATTTAAATTAAATGTTATTTATAGTACTCTAAACACACAAGCAAAACTTTGGTAGTAGGAAGATAGGAATAGGCAATTGTTTTATATCGAGATACATATGTCAGTACAGTTCCTCTATTTAAAGAAAGTATACATGCATGCAATGGTTTGAAGGAAAGTAAAATTCTATATATTTATATCATAATAGAGGGATCTCAAGATTCTTAAGCACATGTTGTGATTGGGTGACACCCATGTGGGCGGTGTTGCTCCATTAAAGGTTAAAGGCGTATTATTTAAAACGACCGACATAATAAATCAAGTACAAATTCATTTTTGTTGGACTTATTCAACTATTTTACGACAAATATATAATAATTTCCTGATGGAGATGATATAAGAAAATCACATTCATTATCATTATTAGCAAAATCAGTTTCGGGTCAAATCAATAATATATAATTTACTTGTTTGTGCTAATAGTTAACAGCCAGACCATTCCGGAGGTAGAAGGAAGAGAAGGCAAAATTATAATGTTTCTTTTTCTAATTGTTTTAAGTGATTCTAGATGTGCTTGTGATACAGTTGTGATGATACAGCCTTAAAATCGTCTGTGGGTACTTCCACTAACTTGCACAGCTGATCACTATACTAAGTGACCTGGGCTTGGAGTCTCTTTATCTACCAGCATTCACATTAAAGCAGATCTTGGTTGCAGCAAGGAAAGAGACAACCAGCTTCTTTCTTAGTACAAACAGCAGCTCCCTTTATTTTCACTTCACATCAGGATATACAAAGTACATATCCCTTCCCCCATCTGCAAGTCCACTTTGACAACAAACGCATTCCTAGATCGACCAGGCAAATATCTCAGCATGAGGGGAAGCTCTGCATCTTGTGCCATGCGAAACATTAAAGTCTCATTTTGCCACAATACTTGATAGAGAATTATTCACATCAATAACAAAATTCTCCTGCAGTTCATATTTGCATCGGAATTCCAAAACACGTGTAATGAATTGGATTAAAGCTTCAATGGGTAATTATTACCAAATTAAATGTTGTTAATAATAATTTCAGCATTCAGCAATCTCAGCATTTGTATGCGTGTTTCACTTGCATTAAAAAATGGAATTGTTATTTCTCACAAACTGTAATCATGATCTCCTGGAATTCATCAAGTTGGACTAGTTCAGGGGAAGACTCAGGGATTTAATTTGTCGAACATTAGAGTCTTGCTGGCTGCCAATGGGCCTCTAGAGTAAAATAATGATAATTAAAAATAATTTACAAAAACAAGCACCCCTGCCAATAATATAGAGAAAGCAGCATCAGCGTCCTCCTCTCGTCTCATCCAGTGTATGGTAGGGTAGAGGTTAATAAAATAAGAAGCCGAGGAGGCCTAAAATAGATCAATGACAGCAACCCATGGTTTACCTCCACTCCCAGAATGTAAGATAGGAGAATTAATTAATTATTTATTTATTTATTTATTTTTCTTTATTAGATTTTCTTTTATACAAAATATAACAAACAAACATTCGCTCTCTCGAGCGTAATGCATACAATAAACAGACAGAATTTATCAAATCTAGTTATAAACAGTATTTATGCTATTGATATGTTACCGTATTATCAATATATATAATCAGTACTGTATTATCATTATACAAAATCAATTCGATAGAGTATTAAAACGTTCCTTATGATAAAATGACACCTATTCCATCCTAAGCTGTTTATTACATTTATACATATTGTCCAAATCATACATTCATTCACATACATTTTCGGTCAATTAAGTTTACTCTATTATAACTTCTTTATGGGGATTATTAAAGTATCGATCTATGGCTTTTCAGTTCATCTTACAAGGTCAAAAAAAAGTACCACATGTTTTAAGAATTAAACAAGAAGAGGAGAAGAATAATTTCTCTAAATATATTGGAACTATAATACTCCCTCACAATATTGATTATTAAGTCACCTATATTTATTCAACCATCAATTCAGATCACTTGAAAAAAAAAAAAATTATACCAGCAATTCTCATAATCTATGCTTTAAAATATCGCCCTTAGGTTGGAACCAATAATTCAGTAATCTATCCATACTTTTTGATATCTGTTACTAGGCTATTATATATCTCAAGCAATTTACGGTTAGTATAGGAATGAAATAGTATAACTCCAGTTTCCATCTCTATTTGTTTTATCACTTGCTTTTTAAACAATGAATTCGATAGAATAATAGTTTGTTTCCAACTTTTTGCGATAAGCAGCTTCGTTGCCATGAGGCAATGAATTATCAAAATCTCTAATTTTTTATTTTCTATCTCATATAGGTGCAGTAACGCGGTCTTTGGTGTTTTCTCTAATGTTACTGCGCCTATCTTATTTATTAGTTCGAACGTTGAGTGCCATAATGGGATAATTCTAGGACAGCTATGTTTATCAATGGGTTAAGCCTTCCCCCAAAGCCTCTAGCGGCTGTCTCATTGACAGCCGCTAGAGGCGCTTGCGTGCTTCTCACTGTGATTTTCACAGTGAGAGCACGCCAGCGTCCATAGGAAAGCGCCCGTGCGCATTCAGCCGACGGGGCGGAACAGAGGAGGAGAAGGAGGAGAGCTCCCATGGCCTGGAAAAGGTAAAGTTTTTACCCTTTCCCCTTCCAGAGCCAGGCGGGAGGGGGTCCCTGAGGGTGGGGGCACCCTCAGGGCACTATAGTGCCAGGAAAATGAGTATGTTTTCCTGGCACTATAGTGGTCCTTTAATGGCTCCAAAATAGATATAGGAGTCTAAGGTGCAGGTATACAACTAGAACCACAAATAAATAATAATAAGAAAGTATTTATTAATTAATTTAAAAATTGCAGTTAGCAATCACCCAAAGTGCTCCACACTAAAACCCCCTTAACCCTCTAAGGGTTATTTCCAGCTGTCTCAGACCCCAATGACAACGTTCATCTCTGTCCTTATTTATCTAAATTGACCTATTAGAATTGACTTAGCAGGGGAACTTAGGTGCCCTCGTAGGCACAGGGACATACTTTCACGCTGTCTTAGATTATCAATGACAGCGCTTATTTCTGTTCTTATATTTACACCATTATTTATTTAACAGGGGATATTTAGGTGCCCTTGAAGGCACGGTGAAGTTATATTCATTTATTTAACAGGGGATATTTAGGTGCCCTTGAAGGCACGGTGAAGTTATATTCATTTATTTAACAGGGGATATTTAGGTGCCCTTGAAGGAACGGTGGAGTTATATTAATTTATTTAACAGGGGATATTTAGGTGCCCTTGAAGGCACGGTGGAGTTATATTAATTTATTTAACAGGGGATATTTAGGTGCCCTTGAAGGCAACTATACACTGCAACTATCCATATACGGCACTTACTAGGATACAATTGACTTTTACATTGTCCAGCTGTATAACATACCCACTCTCTGAGTATATTAGACTATACTATCGTTGTACTAGAAATCTGGGTGCACCATAATCATATACCAACTTTAGTTGTGTAGCGGTACTCCTTATTAGGTCAGCTGATTTTCTCATTGGACCTTTTTGCATTTCTGCTTTATCACGCCAACTATACATTGTAGCTATCCACCTACGGTACTTACCAAGATACAATTTATTTTTATGTTGCCCAGTTGTAAAATATACCTACTCTCTGGTTCAACTGAATATATTAGACTATACTATCGTTGTACTAGGAGGTGGTATTCTTATGCTGTTATAACACTTACATATGCTGACTAGTGCATATCTCTCTACTTAGTAGTGATACACCCAGGTGCCTTTAAAGGCTCGGTGGGGCTACGTTTTTTCCAGAGGGCATTCATATGTTATTAGTAGAATTAATTCTACATTTCAGTCTATCTGAATACATCAGATTATGCTCTCTGTGTATTACAAATCCGGGCACATTACAACTGCATACCAATTTCATTTGTAGAGGTGACTTCTTTACCCCACTGTAGCATTTATACGTCGCACTAGTTAGTGTGTTGCATTATAGCTTAGTAGTACCATCTCCTTACCCTCAGATTTACAAGTTTATATATATATATATATATATACAACGATTACTTTTAAGAATTACTTGTATCTCGTAATCACTGTATGCAGTATTCATGTACTTTAGGTTATCCTACTGACCACCACCAGCTGTATATACTCCCCATAATAGAATTATATTCAGCTACTTCAATCTTAGTTTCCCTGTCAGCACAGACGTGTGCTTCTGTTGATTATTCATTATTATATGTTTTCAGAGATTTTTATATTGAGCCATTGCGCTCCTTATCAATTGTTGATTTTATTATTTTCAGGTTTCCACTATTGTTTTAGTGTGGAGCACTTTGGGTGATTGCTAACTGCAATTTTTAAATTAATTAATAAAGACTTTTTTTCTTTCTTATTATTATTTTTTGTGGTTCTAGCTGTATACCTGCACCTTAGACTCCTATATCTATTTTGGAGCCATAAACTACTTTTACAAGAATATTCTCCCTAATACCTCTCTATTGGTACACAATGTCCAATTATTTTCTTTGATTTTGTTAAGTCTTATCGGTACTAAGTACCATCTGAAAGATAGTTTTAGGAAAGTTTCCAAAATGTTTAAACAATGGATATATTTTTTCAGTTTATTAAATGCCTGATATCATAAATCATGCTGTATATCCGAGGATAGATCAGCTTCCCATTTCATAAAAATCGTAGGAATAGTAGGACAAATAGCTGTTTTTATTGCTTTCATTGCTTTAGCATAAACATATTTAGAGGATTTAGTCGATAGGATATCTTTAATTAAACCTCCCAATTTATCATCTCTATTCATAATATGTTCTTTCAAAAAACTTTTTAATCGTAAATAATTAAATTTTTCTTTTGAGGGCAAATCAAATAGAGTTGAAAGTTCAGATTAGTTTTTCAGCTTTTTATCATTGAATAAAACATTAATCCGATCGTTGTTATTATACCAATTTTTAAGATCAATTTGTGTCATAATCTGTTCCAAAGATTGAAATGGTAAAGTGTAGGGAATTAAATTCTCAATATTAAATTTCCTTTTTAAATTATTCCATTCTTTTAAAGTTTGGAATAATATTATAGACTCCTCTTCTCTTATACTCTTTATATCTTTATTCTTATTGAGATTATTCCATAACAATGGTTCTAGATTATTTTTCTTAATTCTTTGTGTCTCTAATTTATACTAGGGTTGGTCGCTCAGTTCAGTTCTTTGAAGGTTGGTGGCATGTATTATCATATTAGCCTGATATGATTGCTTAATTAGTGGATAACCGATTCCTCCATCCTTTCCTTTTTTTGATAGGGTAGTTGTATTAATCCTTGGTCTTATCGGGGATATCTGCAAGGGAATCATAAGGAATATATAGGTCCATTTTGGTAATAAATAAACTTTAATGATGTTCATCCTTCCTCACCATGAAATCTTGTATGATCTCCATTCCCTTAGTAATCTATTGGTTTCTTTTAGAAGCCTCATGAAATTTACTTTCATGCACCTTCTAGGGTCCGCCGTCAAGATTAGACCAAGATAGCTCAACTCTTTCGTGGTCCAATAAAATTTATATGATTGTTTCATTATGTGTAAGGTCGTATCTTGTATGTTATTTACTAACGCTATTGATTTATTAACATTTAATTTATAATTTGATATCAGACTAAATTTTTCGAACTCTTGCATCACAATTGCAAGGGAGGAATTGGGCTTGGATATTGATATAAGTATATCATCTGCATAAAGGCAGATCTTTAATACATCACCAGCAACCGTTATCCCTTTTATTTCCCTATTTTGTCGTATTTTACAAGCAAATGGCTCAATTGATAACACATATAACAAAGGTGATAAAGGGCAACCCTGTCGGATACCATTGGAAATTTTAAACCAATCAGAACATAAATCCTGGCCCACTATCCTTGCAGTGGGATTAGAGTATAAAGCTCCCACAGCTCCCATGAACCAACCTTCAAATCCAAAATGTGATAGAGACCTACTAAGGAAGCCCCAACTGACCCTGTCAAAGGCTTTCTCGGCATCTATCGACAGGGTCAAAAGGGGCATCCTGGTATGTTGAGCCCAGTCCATGATCTCCAACATTCGTCTGAAATTATTACTGGATTGTCTCCCCGAAATGAAACCAATCTGATCAGGATGAATAATGGATGGAAGAACCTCTTACCTCTTGTATTTGTTTGTGTATATTGTACGTTTCTCAACTAATTGTACAGCGCTGCGGAATCTGTGTGCGCTTTATAAATAGCAATAATAAATAAAAAAAAAAAAAGAATAGTTTGGAGTCTAGCTGCTAATATAGCGGCAAATAATTTAGCGTCCACATTCATTAAAGAGATTGGATAGTTATGAAGATCCATTGGGGATTTCCCTGGCTTCAGTATCAGGGATACGTGAGCTCTAAGTAAATCATAAGAGGCTTGACTTTTTCTCACAATTTCATTAAAAGTGACTGTCAGCATGGGAATAATTTGACTTTTGAAAGTTTTATAAAATAATTTTGTATAACCATCAGGCCCCAGAGGTTTTCTGTTTACAAGATTGTTTATTGCTAGTTCCACTTCTTCAGTCAGGGCCAGATTAAGAGCCCAGTGGGCCTGGTGCTGACAATTAGGACGGGCCTAATTACAGAATCATATCGACCAAAAACAGTAAAACACTCCCAAGCATCATGTATCTGATGGAGATGGTGCTGGAGAGAAAGAAAACAGCAGCTATAAGAAAACACATACCCTAGGCTAATCTCTCTCTAATTTATGTTTTCATCTTTCAAGTAAATCCATAACCCCCAACAGCAGTGTCCAGTCAAGCAGGAAGTCAATGGGCATGGTAAAAGGGTGTGACACTGACACAAATTACGTAACCTGCCAAAAGGGGCGAACATGCCCAAAAAGAGGACATGTCTGCCCAAAGAATTAGAAGGCCAGCTGCCTGCCAATCATGCAGCTGGCCAACTAAGGGCATACTATGCAGACAGCACCCTGAGCTTGGCATAAATGCATCTAATGATGCGCTCACTCAACGCTTTCTAAGGACTGTTCCCTTGTACTCGCTGGTCCACTTGTCTCCTTACCTTCTTACTAGCAGGCAGAAGCTCCTGGTATATAGTCTGGGACAGAGAAAAGCTGTATGTAGTGAGTGTAGAAGAAAGGGAACATGCCACAGTGTTAGAGAGACCAAAGTCAGCATTACCTTAAAGGATCAACATGAATTCATGACCCTATAGTGTTAACACCACCATCTAGCCCCCCTGGGCCCCTCATGCCTCCATAAATATAGCAAAATCTTACTATATTCAACCCTGAAGCTGTAACTCTGAATGCTGTTAGACTCATAAAAACAAGCAGTCTGCTGACATCATTAGAAGTGGTGGCCTGATCCAATCACAGTGCTTCCCCATAGGATTGGCTGAGACTGACAAAGAGGCAGATCAGGGTCAGAGCCAGCATGATTCAAACACAGCCCTGGTCAATCAGCATCTCCTTATAGAGATGAATTGAATTAATGAATCTCTATGAGGAAAGTTCAGTGTCTGCATGCAGAGGGAGGAGACACTGAATGTTTGGATGCATTTTAGGCAGCCATGACCCAGGAAGGATCTCTAACAGCCATCTAAGGAGTGGCCAGTGAAGTTATCACTAGGCTGTAATGTAAAGACTGCATTTTCTCTGAAAAGACAGTGTTTATAGCAAAAAGCCTGACGGAAATGATTCTACTCACCAGAACAAATTCAATAAGCTGTAGTTGTTCTGGTGACTAAAGTGTCCCTTTAACTATATTCATTGTCAGCCAGTCCACACAAGTTTTGTTCCCATACTTCACTCTTAAGTTTCCATACTTAAGTAAGAGTATGTGAAAAGTAGTTAGGGTTACCACCTTTCTTGGAAAAACATACCGGCCTTACTAATTTGCATAATTAAATATGTATGGGTGACATCACATGTAAATCACAAGGAGTGACATAAGAGAAAATGCTGTAAAATCACCAAAAAACTACATAGTTTGATTCTGCTGTATAGATGGATTCCTCCCAGTGCCCCCATGTCTCCCAGTGTCCCTTAGTGTCTCAGTGTCTGCCATAATGTCTCTCAGTGTCCCTTAGTGTCTCAGTGTCTGCCATAATGTCTCCCAATGTCCCTTAGTGTTTCAGTGTCTGCCATAATGTCTCCCAGTGTCCCTTAGTGTCTCAGTGTCTGCCATAATGTCTCCCAGTGACCCTTAGTGTCTGCCATAATGTCTCCCAATGTCCCTTAGTGTCTTAGTGTCTGCCATAATGTCTCCCAATGTCCCTTAGTGTCTCAGTGTCTGCCATAATGTCTCCCAATGTCCCTTAGTGTCTCAGTGTCTGCCATAATGTCTCCCAATGTCCCTTAGTGTCTCAGTGTCTGCCATAATGTCTCCCAATGTCCCTTAGTGTCTCAGTGTCCCCATGTCTCCTTGCAGCCTTTCCCCCATCCCTTACTTCCCTGAGCTGTAGGCTGTCTCTGCAGGGTGGGAGTTGCTGTCTGGACTCTGTAGCTGCACCCCTGCAGATCAGTGAGTATAGATAGGCAGGGAGGGATATGCTGGAACTTCCTATCCCTGCCTGTCTCCACACACAGTGACCCATACTGGCCAGTGCTGGTATTGCATAGTAATCTCTTGTTTATACTGATAAAAATACCAGCATTTATATTGCCAGTATCACTATAATATTGGCACCAGCCAGGCAGCCTCAAATACTGGCTGTGCCAATAAAATAAAAGCCAGGTGGAATCCCTAAGAGTAGTGTGTGGAGAAAAAAAAAATGTTAAAAAAAAAAAAATGTAAAAAAAAAATGTAAAAAAAAATTTTTTTTTTTTTTTAAATCAATGGGCCTATTCCATGGGCCTGGGCCTGGAGCTGCAGCTCCATCAGCCCCTATGTTAATCCGGCCCTGTCTTCAGTAGATATGATCTTATTTATAATAGATACACCACATTTCTTTTTCTTTGAGATAGAAGCCTCATAGATTGTAGGATATTTTTTTAAATGCCATTTTTGCTTTGAATCAGCAATCCAGTGGGTCTCTTGAATGAAGCCCACTTGGATTTTTTCTCTGATCAAGGTGTCAAAAAGCATACCTCTCTTAACATGGGAATTAAGACCTTGTGCAAAATGAATCTAACCATTGTCAATTTCTATTTTCCTTCTCTCCCATATTAAGACCGAAAATGTTTCCATCATCCACACACTGACATTCATACCACATATAATCGCAAATATCACACTTGGATAATCCAACATAATCCAAGTACTGGGTGCCTTAAAGGTACCCTCGGGGAAAGGCAAGACATCCCGGAATGTGAAAAAGCCTAAACGTTCAGAAGATTGAAAAATTGAAATAGAAAGAAAGCCGGAGAAATGTCTCCTCATTTTCTAATTTTCCTTCGTTTAACATATTGTGTTTGAAAAAAAAAATGAACTTCTCTTATTCTGTTGAATATTAAAGTATGATGTAATTTCCATATTACTGATTTAACCTATACAATCTCCTTCTTTAAATCTCTTACGTGGCACCTTCCACTTATTACTTAAAGTTTTTATCATCCCAAGTATCTATTTAATATTTAATCCAATTCAATCAATATATAATCTTTAAAGTGACTAATAAAAGTGAATTACAATAAATAGTGATTATCTAGTGGTCTCACTTAGGCCTTGCCCCTATCGTGGGGCACTGCATATTACCCATGCATCTTAATAAACATTCAATTCTTACTTATTTAAACGTGTATGTAGTAAGGGCAAATACACATATGACCCCATTCATTACATTAAAAAAACCTTCATTGTATCATTGGGTATCAAGTAAGAAAAAAATAATTAAATAAATAGGATAGGAGAATTATTTAATACATATATAGGTCACCTCCATTCCCAATCACTCTGTGGTCCCATCACTTAATATATGCCTTCTTGATGGTAGGGCGTAAGATGGAATATTGTAATTAATGATTGTAACCGGGAGATTCTATCCAAAAAGTGTGAGGCCTATCCTAAGTACAGTTCCACAGGGGTACTCCTTTTATGAACTCTACGCATGGACTGAGAGAAAAAGAGAGGCAATCATATTTCCATCTAGCTTATTAGAGTGTCTTTAAAAAACATTTTTTGTTTTTTACATTTGCCAATTTTTATTGGTTCAGAATCCTCATATCTTCAACAGTTCTTCATGGTTATTAGTGTTTCACACATAGCAATGCGGAATACATTTGGCAACAGTGTAACAACATTAGTGCATGATGACAAAAGGGGGGGGAATGGGAGTGAGTGTTGGGAAGGGAAGGGAAATGCTGCTGGAGAGAAGGAAAGGAAAGGGGGAGGGACATTTAGGGGAGGGAAGATTGTGTGTGTCTCTGTCAGCTATTCTCAACATTTACAATATCACTTCACTTTCCTGTCTTTGTGGGTCATTTGTCTTATGGTTAGATTCTCAAGGTAGGGAGGAGTTAAGGTCATGCGTCAATCGTAGGTACTCAGTCCATAGGTTGTGGCGTTTCTCATTTGTTTCTTAATGCCAAATTGGGAAGCAAACACCTCCTCATATTGCCATTTCAGGGCCATCTGTTTCAAGAGTGCTAAGCGTGAGGATGCAACAGTGGATTTCCACAGCCTGGATATTATTAAAGCAGTAGATATGAAGACATGATATATAGCGGCCCAGAGGTCTTTGGGCGTTTTTTCTGGTGGAATATTAGTTTGCGTTGTAACTCCACATGAGTGGCACATGAGGTTACCCCTTTATGTGATGAGTAGGCTAGTGACCAGTTTTCCTCTGTGATCTCTCTATCTAGTTCTGCATGCCAAGATAAAATGTGCCTGTTGCTATAAATGTCTCCCGGGTGTGTGAGCAACTGATATCCAAGAGATTTTAGCTTTTTTAAGGTTTTTTTTCCATGCATAATTGTTCGAATTCTGACATGGTTCCCTTCAATTTGGATTCGTGTTTGTTATGTTTGTTTAGGGCTAAGCAGGACTTCAGCTGGAGATAGGAGAAGATGAGGTGTGAAAGGAGGTTATATTGCAATTGTAAGTCCGGAAAGGTTCTCTTGGTATACTTGTGCTACAGTGGTGATTCCATATGCTATACATGCCTTTGTGTTTAGGGTAGGGATGAGGTTTGCCATTGCCTTGAAAGGGGTGGCCAGGGGGATTGGGTTGCGAGCAACCATTTGTACCTTTGTGGTGTCCCAGGTGAGTAGAGCAAATTTGGTTGAGGGAAGTATGTTGTGTGTGTCTGGTTTGTGAGACTCAGGTGTCCAGAAGAGGATGTGTTAAACTAAAGGTTTTTGCCCAGACGTTTATGATGTGTAGCCATTGGGGTGAGTCTGGTTGTGATTTGAGTTGTGGTACTTTAGTTAACTCTGCTGTTCTGTGGTATGCTAGGAGGTCTGGGAAGACCAATCCTCCCGCAGCCTGTGCCTCTGTAGCAATTTTGTGGCTACTCTTGCTTTCTTATTCTGCCAGGTAAAACTAATCAGCTGTCAGGTAGGTTTTCAGGTATCCCTGTGGTAACGGGATCTGAAGCGATCTGTACAGGTACTGCAACTTTGGTAATATGGACATTTTGATAGATGCTGTGCGGCACACCCAGGATAGGTATTTCCCCTCCCAAGATAGCAATGTGTGTTTGAAGGTACTGATTAGGTTCTCATAATTGGATTTGAACAGATTGGTTGGGTTCTTGGCCATTGAAGGGATTTATCCACATCCCGAGCGTGCAGCCTGCACAGGAGACCCTGCACCGGCTAACAAGACATACATCTTGTTACTTCAGAGATCAATGAGGAAGAAGTGAGGAACTGTTTCACATATATTACCTGCAGAAGAAGAAGAAAAGAGGAAGCACAGCTACAGGGATTCACTTTTACATTTAAAGAAACTGGATAACAGAATTTACACCTCCACTGGTGAGATCCACCCATATTATATAGTGTGTACACACTGGGACTGTATATACTTACTTTTTTTCTCTTCCCTTTTTTTCCTTTTTTTCCTTTTTTTATTTTTTTCTTTTTTCTGATTTTTTTAAAGGAATTTTCTTGATATTTTTGTTTTTTTCTTTTTTTCCACTTATCCGGTTTTTCTCTGGAGGATACGATTTTTTGGAACATCTGATATAGTTATTTATATCATGGTCAGGGACTCTTATAGTTAACATGAAGTCACAGCAGTCGACTTGTAACGTTTTGTTTCTATTTACTTGTATATATTTCCAATTTAAGTGTGTATATATTATCAATTTTTTCAGACTTTATAACATATTTGATTAATGAATTTCATTTACGTAAGACAATGAATTCACTAATGATTCATTAAATTTAGCAATAAAATCTATCTTGAATTTGTGAGTGCAGTATCATTTTCTTGTATTTTGTATATTTTGAGGTATTCTGGCCACCTCGATACTTTGCACCAATAGGGATAATAGAGTGCTTGTACATAAAACTAATTTTCGTATTACCTAGAAATGTTAGAGAGTCTTCTCGCCAGTCCAGGGGAAAAGCCTCCTTTAATTTGACTTTCTGCCCATTCGGTATATTTATGCTCAGGGCTTGCGTTTTGGTAACATTGAGCTTGTAGTATGACATTTGTCCGTATTCATCTATGTGTTTCATCAAATTAGGTAGTGATATGTGTGACTGAGTTAGAGTTAGCAAAATATTGTTAGCAAAGAGGCTGAGTTTGTATTCTCGTGGACCTAGGGGCACCCGATGAATGGATGGTTTTGAGCGTATCTTAGACACAAGTGGTTCAAGCGCTAGGACATACAAGAGTGGGGATCCCTGTCATGAACTGTTTGGAGCAGAACCCTGCTGACTTGACTCGGGCTGAGGGGTAGCTATAGAGGGCCTTTGCAGTATTTATGAATTGAGTGGGAAGTTGGAACTTTTGCAACACCGCTCCCATGTTGTTTTTGTTTTTTAATTGTTTAGAATTTTTTTTTATATATATATATACATTGTTGTGATTGGAAGACCATAAGCATTTTCTATTTATTTATTTGTATATACATGGCAATGTGGAATTATTTGGGCATTTAATTTTTATTTTTTTAACGGTATATTAAGTTCTAGCCAAATTAAAAACTGACAATTGATAGGTATTTCTGCAAAAACTGTGTTTATGAAGAATTAAAGTCTCAAAACAAGTATAGGTGAAAAAGTCATAAAACAAATACAGGTGGACCTGCAGGCATTACATGTTGGCCGAATGCTGACCGAATGACGGCTGCAATTTGTCCGACATGTTGTTGAACACCAGGTGTTAGTTGAAGTGGCAGACAACCAAATGTCTCTGTAATATAGTCAAGGGTGTAATCGGTCATAAAAAAAAAAAAAAAAGTAGTACAGGGAGGAATAACAATTTACAAAATATAATTCATAGCTTTAAATATCTGACC